CGATCAAACAATGACCAACACAAAGGTGGGGGGGGGTGCTCTCCGCCCCATATCTTGCATCATATGGATGAAATTGGTCAAACTGTCGGTCAGTCTGTAGATGAGTAAGATCGTAAGCCCAGAGTGTTGCCTTTTGGCAGCTAAGAAATACATGATTGGTCACATAATTCTCCCGGTTCTCCTACCTCTCTGAGTTCTGAGTAATTGGTGAAACATCATTGGACAGAACTTTTAAATCACCAAGATTCAGTGCCAAACATTGACTTTTGGAAAACTAGAAGAGGCAGATAGTACCAAAATGCCATTGTACTTGTGGTTGGATGCCCAGGAAAGGACTTTCTAGTATTACTAACTCGAGCCCTTTATTTGTGAACAAGAAATTCCCCCGTGTTAGCAGTATTGTCTGTGATCCAAAGTGGTAGAGTTGGTCCACTTTTATTAATTTTTTTGGTACAGTGGAACGCAGCTATAACAAACAAGATGGGGTTCATGCTAAATGTTTGGTACAGCGGTCGTTCAGTATAGGGAATTTAACTGCCGCACGTTTCGTTGCCATGTTGAATAGCGCCCTCTCTTGTCTAATCGAAGTGCACCCTCTTGCGATACCTTGATTTGCTGTTTTTGTGATGTTTTGCTGTTGCATTCAAGTTTAAAGTTTCTAGAAATGTATCTGTTAATTATTTTGGTTTTTTATTTAAACTTGAGTCAAAAGATTGATATCAAGTTTATCCTAAAAGTTGTGAAACTGCCGCTCAGGAGCGATCTCTGATGCATGCTGTGGCGAATCTTAGTTGATTTGTGTATCAGCGGCGCCCTCTTTAGACCATTGTTAGTGCAATGCCACTGTGCGCGTATGTGCGGTTTTCTTCCACACCTGATCATGTGGAGTCGCAAAACCATTGTCTATTCAATACCGTTGACTACTAGTGGCTTTCCCTTCTAATCCTTGGGGAAATAATGGCCACTTGTCACTTTCCAACATAAAAAAACACCGACCGTTTTATCATGTTGACGTTAAGGAATTACAAACGGCAACTGAATAGTGTTTGGTAGGCTCTGTGCACAAATTATTTGGTACAGCCGAATGTTCGGTATAGCGGTGTTCGGTATAGCGGCGTTCCACTCTATGTGTTTCTTGGAATAACTCTGTGCAGGAAGTGATCCATACCATCTGCAAGGGCTTTGGCGAGGTGCTGAGAATCGTCATCTTTAGGAAGAATGGGATCCAGTCCATGGTGGAATATCCTTTGTGGGGTTAAAACAATTGAAACAATCAACAGAAATTTGAAAAAAGAAGTCACAATAGTTTGTCAATCATGGGAACATATTGTAAACATTTTAGTCTTATTTCCAGTCACACTTTAATATTCCTGTGTTACCATTGCCTGTGTTACCTTAACCTGTTCATCACATTTGACACCATCGAGTCTGCCACCAAGGCTAAGAAGGGCCTTCAGGGCTGTGACATCTACTCTGGGTGCTGCACACTGAGAGTGGAATTTGCTAGGGTAAGCTTTTCAATGTATCTGTTAAACCTGACAGTCCTAGAGCCATGGCAATCCATCAGGAGGTTTGAAGGAGTTAACAGGACTGAGGAAACCCATTTGTGCATCGGTAAACACGTTGCATGTTGTTGCGTTGAATTCAGCCAAGGGTCTGTTCTGCTATCCAGTCTACAGATTTAACAAGTCACTGACATTTTAGATGTTACGGTACAGGAATTCCAAGGTACTGCATCAAATGAAGGTCTCTATCACAGTACTTAGGTAAAAACCTAGCCAAACAACTCCTTCAGGCACAAACAGTTGTTTTTTTTTTTTTTTACAGTAAACAGCATTGTTTCTCCAATATTGCCTATAATACATCACTTCCCTGTACACTAAACACATGTATGACCCACAGAAGATACGTGTAAACTGAAAAAGACTGACCACCCTGGCCAGAAAATGTCTTAACCCCTTGACGACGGGAATTTTTTTCCGAAAGCCGACTCCAAGAATTCCAGCCTCGCTTAGCCACGAAGGCCACCTGCCAAACCGCAAATTCTTGGTTTGTAGCCCTGCGTGCTCTGCACGCTTTGAATTACATAGTGAAAAGGCTGATTGTTTGTTGGCATGCGGCTCTACTCACGCTTCCACATTCTCGTTGTCTCTTTTCAAAG